ATCTCACCTGCCACCATTCCAGATTATAGATACAGGGGGTTTCATAAATTGGTGGGAAAATTCTGTCTTCTTTTTAATTTTATTTTATTTTTTAAAAATTCTGTCTTCTAATTTCATTTTTCCCAGCCACACCCTGCCAGCCCCGTGGCATTTAATACCAAAGGGTGTAGTGGGCGATCTGTGCATTTTGTTGAGTGTGTGTTTGTGGTGCAGGTGTGTTAGTGGTGTTTTAATGCAGAAGTCCTGACTGCCACTAAGAATACTGTGTGGGCCATGGTCGAAGGCTCACATCCGGAGGTGTACAGGGAAGAGCTTGCTCTGTTTGGTCGTTGGCTGTTGTCTGCACATAAACCAATAATGCGTCCTGCTGCTCTTCGGGCCACAAATCCTGCAACTGTTTATTTAACACAGCTTAGTTCCCTCCTTTAAGGAGCCCTTACACATTTAGGGAGCGTGTTACACATTGCGCACTAACTGCCAGGTCAGCAGTTCAAAACCACCACTGCTCTGTCGGAGAAAGGCAAGACTTTCTGTTCCCCAAAGGCATCACGTCTCAGAGACCCACGAGGGCAGGTCTGCCCCGTATTGCAGGGTCCCCACGAGCCAGAAACGACGCCCCGGCAGTGAGTGGGTGCTCTCTTTGGACCTTAGTCCTTCCCGGTTCACATCACTGTTTCAGTGCCCTTTTAAGTTTGAGGCATACTGACCACAACTCAGACATGGCAAGTGACACAAACTTGGGTGAGTCCCTTCCCTTCAGAGGTAACGGGGTTCTCTAGGAGAAACACCCGCGCAGGGTTTGCCTGTGCGCACGCCTCCTCCCGCAAAGACGCGCACGCCTCCTGCAGGCACGTTGCTGAGATGTCGTGTACGTGCATTCACATTTTCTTACTCGGTGGTGCTCACTTTCTCTCCAGAACCCTCCAGAACAAATCACACGTCCACCACTTGATCCGCTCTGATTTTAAAATTTGAGTCCCATTTCACTCTTTGAGTTGCACGCGTTGGTGATTTTTTCCTCCTTTTGGGTGCTACCACTTCAAGTCTGTCTTTAAACGTATGCAAGGACATCAACATTTCTTATGCCCTATTTCTTTCATTTCTAGAATTTAAGGTTTTGACAGGTTCCGCATCTCTGCTGAAAGTTCTCCGTCTTCTTCGTTGGCTGCTGCCGCCTTCTCAGCACACCTCTTTTGCAGTCCGTGCCTGAGAATTCCACTAAGTCTCCTTTGGGTCTGATTTTATTCTTTCCTCTCTCTCTTAAATCATATTTTCTTGGTCTTTAGTGTCCCTTTTAACTAAAAAAAGAAAAGGTCTGGGGCCTGTACAGGTGAACTTTCAGTACTTCCAGAAAGGGCCTGCCCCTTCTCCTGGCATGTGTCTAGATTAGGGGTCCCATCAGTCTACTTTGAATTTAGGCTGGGCCTTCATTGTAGCTGGTTTGAAACGTTGGGTAGTGACATGGCTTATGAAGCACGAGGCCCTTTCTCAGGGACTGGTCATTCCTGATACCATGTTCAAAGTCAATGAGAGAAGACTCACCATACTAGCTTCTAAGGAGCATCGTGGCCATATGACTTCTCAGACACATTTCAGACGGCAAATTAGCTCACATTAGCGAGGTTGATGAAACAATGGACCCACAAATGATAATATATGTTGCTTGATAACAGAATATCTTGCAATGTAGTTTCTTATGAGGAGGTTATGTTTTAAAAAAAATCATTTTATTGGGGGCTCCTACAACTCTTATCACAATCCATACATGCATCAAGTGTGTAAAGCACATTTGTACATTGATTGCCTTTGAGGTTATGTTTTAAGGGCAAGCATTGCTTTTATGAAACTGGGAAAATGGGGCTTTGGATATACGCTTTGTCATTAGCCTCATGCTTTTTAGCAAGGTTATTGTGAATTAGGAGAAGGATTACGTAGCACATCCTGTCTTACATTCCACAGCTGGTACGCAGCTATTTCACCTCACTTAGTGCAATCCCTCCCCGCGCCATCCTTTCTTCCACTGTCTCCTGTTGCTGGTGTCCTTTAACCCCGGGTGCATGCTCAGTACCACACCTGCCTGGAGGCTGAATAAAGGCCAGAGTCTCCAGGCTCCACCTCTCCCATTCTGACCAGAAAGCTGTAAGCTCTGTGCCTTTTCCTCCCCCTGTCTCCCGGACTCTCGAGGCTGATGCTTTTCAGAGCAGTTGGCGGGGGTAGCGCCGCTGTCTGGATCCTTTAACCCCTTCACGCAGGCCTGAGCTTTGTCTCCACTGTGTGCTGCACAGGGCAGGCGTTGCTTTCTTCTTCTGGCAGGGAAGAAGGGGTTGGCTCGGATGGCAGGCTGGTGCCAGTTGCTTGTCAGGCGAGCCTGTGGAGCTCCCAGTCAGCCACCGGGAGATACAGGCCTGGAATCAGGCTCATGACCAGCAAGCATTGAGCAGGCCGGGTGGGAGAGAACGGGCCGATGACAGCTGTGACAGGGTGGAGGGCTGCCTGCACCAGGGCCCGTAGGAAGGAAGGAGCGGGTGAGGCTGGAGAGGAAGCTCCCAGAGGATGTGGCCTTGGGCAACCTAAGGAAGGGACCTGTTCACCTGACCCTGGGTCACGGGGCCTCTGCCAATCCCAGAAAGAGCAGGTTCCCCGGGATTCCTCCCAACGCCACGGAGAATCTTGGGTCGACACTTTCTGGTTTAGAGAACCCTTTCCTCCCGCCGCAGCCTTGTGCTACCACAGGTGTCCCCGCTGAGGATGGCAATCAGGTACTCTTAAGCAACTTCCATGCTGTTGTGCTGTATTTAATTCTCCCAATGTTCCCCCTGGGCTTTCCCTCGCCACTGCTTCCGTTCTGCAGGCATCCAGTTCTCCGCGGCGGAGCTCAGTGCTGCCCACTGCTGCCTCCATGCCCGGGCCAACCACGTCTCACCTTTCCATCTCATCCCCTCCCCACTTGAGTGTTGTCTCTCACCTCTCAAGCAGGTGCGTTAAGCCCTGGAGACAATGAAAGAACACCGAGGACTTTGAATGCGATGAAGGATCACCTTCCCCATCTCCAGTATTTGCCTTGAGGACGGTGTAGTTGATGGCCTTCAGCAAAACCAGTTCCTCCAAGGTCTTCCCACCCAGGACTGTGGGATCGGTCCTCGGAGTGCAGCCAAAAAACCCTCCTCCCAGTTCCTGTCTCAATCCGGGCACACATACCCTGGCCAGGTCAGGCTCCCGGGAGCCTTTCATTAGCCACCGGGAAAGTTGAGCTATCAGAGCAGGAGACCGAGAGGACACAGGAAGGCAGCTTCAGCCGGCTTCCCTCTCGGTCTGGCCCTCACTCGGACTTCTGTAGACAGCTGGACGTGCCTTGCTCTTCGGTACTGTTCTCCTCAGAGAAATGAAAGCTATGGAGTTTGACACCCCATTATGAATCATAGATCTAAGTCAGAGAGAATCCGTATAAAGCTAGGTGAAACTGTCAGAATTACTTAAGGGAGAAGAGGGTAAGAAAAGGCTCCATCTACAGTGTAGCAGAGAAAACCACCCGAAACCCAGGGAGACAGCAGCGGCTCTCCAAATGTGGTCTTGCCGTCCTGGGAGTTAACGTGAAAAGAAGTTCGTTTGACAGGTCATTAAAGAAAAATTCTAGTTTTACAGAAGAGTCTCTGTGGCCTGGCCCTATTCTCTTCTGGACCTCTTTGTGTGGCTAGGGAGAAAGGACAGTCTCTCAGCAGTAGTCACCTTCTAGCAGAAGGACAGTAGGGACTGACCCATGACCTGCAAAGGTGCCGAACAGGGTAGGCACCGAGGCAAGGAGGGAGGAACCTTGTCCCTGGGGGCTGTGTTCGGGGCTGCACAGCCTGGGCTGGTCAAAGTAATGTTTGCAACCCTTTCGTTCACAGAACCAGTGGCTGGTTATGGTATTTTCAGGAAAACAGGACTCTTTTAAGTCGCCCCTTGCTTATTCTTATATCACAAAGAAGTCTGCAGGAGCCCGGCTCTCCTGCCCTCTTACTGGAGTGGACTTCGGAGCAAAGGAGAAGCCTTAGGAGATGTGCCCTCTGTCGCCCAGTTCCAGGAGAGGGAGGCCTGATGACCCCTAGGGACCATCCCTCAGTCTGTCTTTACGTTGACTTTGTATGTAGGTTGGAACAGTTAGGTAAGGTGCATATCTAAGGCCAGGCAGTCAGACGTTTGTCCAATTATATAGCATACCTTATGTATTCATGTAGAAGCCGACTTTTCCAGTACATTTTAATATGTTTTTTTGTGGTAAAATTAGGTGACTCGGCTCATATTCGTGAGACTTATACTCGAATATATATGGTACATTTGCATCACAACCATTAAATCAATATTTCCCGTACATAAGGATCTTTAACACAATACAACAACAACAGCAGCAGCAACGTTTAAGTGCACGTCACAAAGTAGTGTTCCTTTGTTACTCTGAGCCATTAACATATAATGCGTACTTTTGAAATTCTATAATAGTACAGATGTCCCATATACTGGCAACCAATGATAACATTTAATTCAGTGTAATGATACATGATTTGCTGTAGAACACCGGGTTGTTTTGGAACTTGGAGACCCTCCTGAGTGGGACCTCTGTAACCTGGGGATGGCCTGTACCCGCTGCGCCAAGCTGTGTGTTCCTGGGGCAGAGCCAGGGCAGGGCCCTCCAGGCTGCTCCGCTCTGCGTGATAGTCTCCCTGGAGGTGGCCATTGAAATGACACCAGGACAGTGATGGCATTTCCATGGGGGGGCGACGGGGACGGACACACATCTGAATGTTCAGAATATTTTGGGGTGTACCCTCGGCTTTCTTCCTCTCATTTCCCCCCACCTTTCTTGAGGCCTACTTCTGGATGGTGTTTTTTTCAAAAGAATTGTTTATTTTTGGATAGTGTTAACTTTAAAATAAGACATCAAAGTTTCTGGGCATTTCTAGATAAACAGTCATGCCTTCTGTGGGCTGGGTCTGATCATTGTCCCTGTCTTCTCTCCCCAGGAATGCTGCCTTTGCAGTCTGAGAGGGGGTGCCCTCAAGCAAACGAAGAACAACACGTGAGTGCCGCCGTGGTCGGCTGCATTTCACTGTGCTCCTCGATCCTTCCCAGCACCCCAGCCCCCTTCCGAGGGACGGCTGCCCGCCCACCTCTGTCACTCACGTTGTCCCAGAGCCTGGGCATCCAGGCCTGAGGTGGACTGAGATGCTGTGTGTGCCTCCAGAGGTTGCAACAGCACTGTGCCCTCTGCCAGGGGAGCGCATCTTTGACACCTTGAGGAAGAACCCCTCTGTTCATAATGAAGTGACTTTTCAGAATGAAGGCATCTCATTATCATCTAATCCCCATTAGAACCTCAGGGTTTCCTGTGGTGTTATTTGAATCCTGTTCAGTTGATCAAATGAGGGTCTGTCTGAAAGCAGTGAAATCTAGCGTCCCGAGAGAGACTGAGTCAGTCCTAGTGAGGCTTTGCAACACCACTCTCTTTACGTTCTAAGACCTGGGAGCAGACAGGAAAGGGTGGGCATGGGCTAGACGAGGTGGGAGCAGACATCAGTTGTGCGCTTCTGCAGAAGGCATGAGGAGGGTGTGGAAAGAGTGTTGTCCCCACATATAGGAGGTCATCAGGGTTTTGTGACTGTCCTTAAGCTCTATTTTGGAGGGAATTTTATTCATCTTCTGACCCTGTTTCAAAGTAGGAAGGATACTAGCACAGGTTCCTTTGAGGGTAGAGACACCTTGAACTTGGTGCAGGCAGAAGTCCCTGGCAGTACTCACAGACCAGACCCAGGCCAAAGGAATATTTTATGTGACACTTCCCCCCTCCCCCCATGCCATTGTATAAGTCGGCTCCAAAGTTGGAAGGTGTGGAGATTTTACTAAAACAAATCCAGATTTGCATTCGACTTGAGAAATGGGTGTGCTTCTCTCCATTGGCCACCATCCATTGGGATGGGGCCCTGCCCTCTGTAGGCCAGGGCCCCCAGTAACCACACTTACCCTTTGACCACACTTGCCCATACCCTGCCTGGCCCAGGGGTCATCAGAGTTGCCATCCCTGGTGCGAGGTACCAAGTGCGTGATCTTAATTACGTTTACACGTACCCTTTTCTGATTCTTGACCAGGAAGTGTCAAACCACTTACTGGATAGGTTCAGTCCAAGGATCTGGGGTTTTTCCTGGCTTTGGATCTCCACTCTTCCTTACTTGATGTGCTCGACACCGCTAAAAAGTGTGGATCAGTTAGTTCCAGCAGGTTCCATACCATAGGCAGGCGCTGAGATCCTGGGGGTGCGTTCCTGTAAGGACAGAGGGGTCACAGGTTCTCCTCCCCTGGGGCCACCACAGGTAGGGTTTCCTGTGAGCGGCTTTGTGGCTCTGATGATTGAGACATGGGAGCATGGCCTGGTGGCTTTGGTGGTTGAGTCGTTCCCTCGTCCAGGGGTCTTTGAAAGCAAGAGGGAGTTTTATGATTTTCAAATGCAATGTCAGTCTCCATCTTCCATACAGGCGGTGGGGTCTGGCCAGTCTCGTGGCCCTCTGTTGTTACCTGGGGAGTAACATCTATGAGGAACCTGAGAGTGTTGCTGGGGAGCTTGTCTCTTTTGGGGAGCACGTCAGTATTTGTAAGGAGTTGTGGGTTTCAAAAGTAGGAAACACAAGGAAACAGGTTAAATTGCCTTCGCTCGTCTCCAGGGGACTTTGATTTTCCTAAGAAGACAGTGGAAAACAATTTCGCTAAAGATGGGATCAATGTGAATCCCTTTCAAAACACTTAGGCTACTTGTCTTAGGTTGCTTTATGGCATTGATATTATGTAAAAAAGATGCCTGTCATGCCCCATTTATACCTATTATTAATGGGACGAGTCTTTTGCTGTATAATGATGAACATAGTCCTCAGCGCCTGTACCTAAGTATGTTCTAGTAAGGAGAATGTACCCATGTTAATAGGATCGGGCCCCGGGTCTTTACCGCACCCTCCCCATCAGCTGTGGCAGGTGTGCGAAGGAGTCTATACGAGTGTCATCCAGGAAAGTGTAAGGACCAGCCAGTCAATGTGTCTCGCAGGTGAACCGTGGGCATCCTTTCTCCCCTGCGTGCTGTCCGGTCATAGGAGTGGACATCCCTGGGTGGAGGATGAGGGCGAGCGACGGCAGGGAATGCTGGCCGACGTCCAGTGCCCCTTCTCTGTAGGTGGGCCCACATCATGTGTGCTGTCGCTGTCCCAGAAGTTCGGTTCCTTAACGTGCCGGAAAGGTCTCAGATCGATATCAGCCGGATCCCTCTGCAGAGATTAAAACTGGTGAGTGGCAACGCTGCCTTTCCCCTCCCCGATTTCCCCCTTGTGCGTCGGAGGCTGTATCAGGCGGTGGCTTCTTCTCTGACGGGCGTCTCCAAGGCAATTGCATCCCTCCCTTCACGTCCCTCAGTCGCGCCCGCCTTGTCTTCCGCTGGTGCAGACTTCCCAGTGGATCCTCCCTGCTCCTTCCAGTTGCCTGTGAATCAAGGTGGAGGGAGAGGCCCTGTCCTGGGGGACGAGAGCTTTCAGGTCACGGCTGGGCTGGGCTGACCCGAGCCCGGCTCTCCATGCCCATTTGAATTGTTCACTTTTGTGCTCTTGCCTCTCCCTGCGTGGTCTTGATGCCATACAGCGTCTCGAACCTTATTACCACTCCTCTGCACCACTGAGAAGCCCGCAGAGAAATACAAAAGCCTTTTTGATTATTATTCATAGTGTTGTTAGCACTACTTCAACATGGGGATTAGAGAGGTTTTCTGCTTCCCCTGACTCCAGGCCAATTACCATCTGCCCTGCACAGAAACCTTTAGAAAATCTACCTTCAGCTTCCCTACGTGTGTCTTATTGTAAAGATGGGTCTTCAGTGTCCTTCACATCAAAGAAACCTTGACGTTGTGTTAAATTATGAACCAACAGATCATAAGTTTAGGTCCTTGTACTTCATGTTTAATGCAATTTCCCCCTAAAGGCAAACCTGGTGACCTTAAGACACCTGCAAGACAAAGGCTTGCGGTTGTCTGTGATGTTGCTCTGGAGTGCCACCTGTCCTTGCCATCTTCTTTAACAACCCCCCGCCACCCGACCTTGGAGCTTCAGTTTGGGGTCCCAACCGCTGCTCTTTTGGTTACTGGTCTTGCCCTCAGAGTGAGGATCTTTGGGGACTTCTCACAGGTCGTCTGGAACTTGCCAACCATTGGGCCGCCAACCAAACGTTTGGCAGTCCAAACTTACCAGTCACTGCCAGGGAGAAAGACGAGGCCGCCTGCTGTTGTAAAGGTTTAAAACTCTGGAAGCTCTCCTGAGAGGTTCTGCCCTGTCCTGTTGAGCCGCTATAAAGCGGGCCCACTCGGCCGCAGTGGGTTTCCGTGGGCCTGGTTGGTCATTCACCTCTGTCCACGCCGCATGAATGACTGCAGTGAACCAGTACCCTCCCATTCCAGCCAGCGCCTTGCTTTCCAGACAAGTGACCTTCAATGCTGTCGGCTCACCTAGTGCCATCAAGGGTCTCACGTAGCTGGTGGCATTGGGCTGCAATCTGCTTGGCCGGGAGTTCAAAACCACTGCCAGCTCTACGGGAGACTAAGCTTTCTACTCCCACGAACGGGGTCTCTGACACAGCAGTGACTCTAGGCAGCCAGAGCGCGGGCCCCTCTGATGGTGGCTGGTGGCTGTGTAGGGTAGTGGGAGCAGGAGACGCAGCCCACATTTTATGAACCGAGACATAGTGAATGGGGGTCACCACAGAAAGGCTCACAGTGACTCTCAGGGGTGAGAAGACACAGTTGTTCCGTTCCTGGACTTTCTGGGGAAACCTTGAAATCAACCCCTTGCCACCCACTGGGGACATGTTTTTACAACGAGCAGAAGACAGCAGCAGCAGCAGGGGTGGCAACAAGGGACTGTAGGCTGGCATCACTCCCAGAAGACAGGCCACCGAGTGAGAGAATGGTAGGCTTTCTGTGAGCGATGCCCACAAACGTCAGCTGTTTGCTTTTCTCTTCACGGCACCTCCCAGGGGTTCACTCCGTCACCATCCTTCCTGCTTCACAGAGGGGGGAAACTGGTACACAGGGAGCCAGGGGACTGTCACAGGGCCGCAGAGCCAGCAAGCATGGGGCGGGCAGTGCCGTAGAGAGGGGCACAGAGTGGGGCTGCGGACATCTGCCTTCAGGGAGGAGCTGGCTTTGTGTCCACCCCAACCTGGCCTGCACTTGGCTCCAAGTGGGGGCGCAGTTGGGGGTCAGGGGGTGGTGGGGTGGGTGCTGGCCGCAGTGGAGTTCTTCCCACAGGTCTTCCTGGCGGGGCCATTTCCCACCATCTCCCTATGGCTGCCGTGCCTCAGTTTACCTCGCTGGTCACCCTCCTCTTCCGTTTGGCCTGGCTGGCGGTCATCATTTTCAAACATTTTGAATTCGGTGAAGGCTTACAGAGAAGGTTTCCACTCAACAATCCGTACATATTTCGTTTCGAGTCACTGATGATATCACTTATCCCACCCCCTCCGCCCCGTGCCTGGTTTCCACTCTCCCTTCTCTCCCAGCCCTTTAAAGGGACCAAGTGCTGCCCTTAGGTCTCCAGGGGCTGAGCAGTCTCTGGTCTGTGAAGCTCCCTGGGGGACTGTGGGCTGAGTCACTTTGCAGACTGCACGGTGACCAGGGGCCATGGTTCAAGGCCCCACCGTGTCTGTACCACCAGTCAGGCTGGCCTCTTTTTAAAAAAGGGCTCTTGAGTTTTGTTCCATGTTCTCGCCCCTTCCCCTCCCCGAGCCCCACTCCTCTCCCAGGTCCCGCTCGGGTCACCCCTTTTCAGAGTTGTCAGTGATGACTCTTATTGGTTTTGTGTGTGTGTCTTTGCGTCTCTTGTCAACAAAGCAATCAAGCTAGGCAGCACGTGTGCATATTAGCTAGGAATCAAAAAATCCCATTGAGTATTTCCTCATTCGTGACTTGTTGAAGTTAAAATCAAGCAGGCAAGCCCCGTGCTGGTCAAGACCCCCTGACGATTAGTGTTCTGTGAGGGAGAAGAGGGCCACTCGGTTCACACTGGCCAACACAGGGCCCGGTGACTGTGCTCCTTGCTGGAACGCCGGGGGCTTTGTTTCTTGCCTCTGTATTCGGGAGGGATTTGATCAAGCCGCCAGTAATGAGAATGCTTGTGCCTCTTGACGTTTCTCGTTCCAAAGCCCTTGCATGCTTGACTAAGTGCTGACTCACGGTGACCCCGTGGACCACAGAAGAAAACACTGCCCAATCCGGCTCCATCCCCCAGGGTTGTGAGAGCCCGTGGTTACAGCCGCCACGCCACGTCAGCGTCTCTGATTGAGCTTCTTGCTCGTTTGCACAGGTCCTCTACCACGCAGCGTGGCTCCCCTGGGGAGCGCTCCCTCCTGATAACACTGCCCAAAAGTGGGACAGAGTGGCACCAGCCTCTCTTCTAAGCAGAGCGCCCTGGCCGTGTTTTGATGCTTCTGGCCGGTAATAGTCTTTGCTAATGTCCGACTTCAAGGGTGTCAGATCGTAGATCTTCCTTATTTATTGTCTGGAGCTCGTTTCCTATCAGGTGTTTGAAATGACCGTGTCCCGGCTAGGTGAACCTTCGTTTTCAAAGTGTCTGTCAACCACCGCTTGCATGGCTGACCCTGCAGTGAGCAGTGGCGTGCTTCCCCAGTGCACCAGCAGGACTGCTGGCCATCAAAGTAATGGTGGTGGCACTTACACACATTGCACACCTATCTATCCTGCATGTAATGCTACTTAAAAAAAAACAAAGAAGCTCACAGCTCCGAGTCATTTCGGACTCATGGAGACCCCGTAGGACAGGGCAGAAGTGCCCCTGCAGGTGTCCAATTCGGCACCTCTTTATAGGGGCAGACAGCCTCATCTAAGGCCAGCCATTAGTTCCTGCTTTGCATCTTGGGACCTGTGATTGGGTTGCATACGTTAGTAGGACTTTGTAATGCCCACAAAACACCTGTCCTGGTGGCTTTGAGTTTTGTTTTGGGCCCTCTGCTCAGACTAGACGGGAGTGACCTATTTAGGACAAGTTGTTTATTCCCAAGGAGCCTCACACATTGGCCTGCTGACCTTCTGCTAAGGTCAGAAGCTCGAAAACACCAGCCGTTCGAGGGAGAAAGACCAGGCTTTCTACTGCTGTCAAGAGCTCCAGTCTCAGAAACCCACAGGGGCAGTTCTCTGTCCGACAGGGTCCTCCTGACTTAGTAGCACCTCACGGCAGTGAGTTAAGTTTGTTTCTTGAACCCAAAGCAGCAGCAAGGGCAAGCTGGGCCTTTCCTCACTGGCCACTAGGTGGTGCTGCTGCACCACCACCAGGCTGGCACATGGCGTCTTAAACCTGCTCCAGCATCTGAGCCTGGCCACACCGGCACCCACCCGGGTGTGTGTCTGCGTGTGTCTGTGTGCCTGTGTGTTGTGCATACGAGGGTCTAGGGTACTCTTGCCCAAGGGATGGTAGCCGTGCCACGAAAGTGCTGCCGAAATACATTCAAAGTGCTGAATTGCAGAGCGCAGATCCATTTAACCCTATAAAAAGAGCTGTTCTCCCTGGAGGCAAATGCATGTTTCTCTGTATAAATAATAAGCCACCTGGTAAAAGCTAGTGACTGCAGCAGGCTTAAAGAACAACTCGTGGCAAACATGCGTTTGAACGTCTCGCCCAACGTGTGAAAGCTCCTTATTGTGTGTGTGTGTGTGTATACATATGAAATGTGTATATCAAATATATGTAAATGTGAAAACACCTCATCGAGGTATTAATATATATGTTAAGAGAATATATAACTTATGAGAGCTGTGTCCACGCAGCTCATCATGGTTGGCCGTCTCTCGGTCATCTTAAACAGGGGGGCTTATTCAGTGATCTTTGAGCATTTCTGTAAAGCTATTTTTGGTTCAACCTGCAGCTTTTATCAGCAACTGAACAAACTTTGTTGTTGGCCGAGAATGTCAATTATGTATTTACTTTGGGAAAGGGTGGAAGGCAGAATGGGTTGTGGACCGAATGTCGGCTCAGATAGCACCGTCAGGTAAAGGCAGAAGGATTCCCAGCACGTGGAAAGCAGCTGTGGGCTGTCAGTGGCCCCGCCCGTGGCCCCTGAGCCCTGCCCGCTCCCTGGCGTCTCAGGTGTCTCCTCGTCAGATACCGAAAGCATCAAACCATGTGCCCAAGACGGTTTCCCAGACGCTCTGTCTTCCTTGGTCTCTGTGCCTGGTGATCTTTCTCTGCTTTACTAATACATGAACAGTTTATAAACAGTGCAAATCAAA